AAATAACTCTATCTATGAAGATACTTTAAACACTGATCAGTTGGAGTACAGATGAGGATCAAACAAACTGTGTGTTAGTATTTTAGATAATTAAGGTGTGCAGTGAATGTCCGTGGTGTTTCTTGTATGGTTACAATCTGGGTTTGGGCAAGGCTTTCTGGTTTGCTGTTCAGAGTTCCCTGTGTTTCGTGACGTGAAGGAAAACTGTGTTACTGTGGGCACAATTCTGACCTAATTGATATTAGAGTGCTAGTATTGATTCAACTGTTCTGTATAGCTTTAACTTGTGTTACAGTGCAGGCTTTGCCCTAGTGTAGTTTGAGAGAGGCTGAGATGTCTTTATTCTCTGGGGGAAGTTAATCCAGGTCAAAACCTGAAATTTAACTATTCTAAAGCAGGGAATACCAAGTCAGTAAGCAGTGTTCAGTTTTATTTCCTCCTACTAGAAAATAACTGGCATGTGCCCGAATTTGATTTGGTACCTGCTAGGGAAACCATACTTTGTTGTTGTATTTTGATATGATATTAAAGTGTTCTCTATGTGTTTTAAGAAGTTCCCAAATCGGTGTCGTGGAATATCTTTGTGGCTGAATTTAATAATTCTTAAAATTAAACCAGAAAATCTCATGCCAAACTCATCCATCTAAAATGGTGGTCTGGTGATTTTGGGGAGAAGGTGGCCTGCAGTTCAAAGTTCTTTTCATACTGCCAGAAATGTGTTTATTTTCCCTAACAAGCCAAAGCTAACATTTCTTAAGGTGAGGAAAAGCAATGGTCTGCCATGGTTTATGCAAGACACCTCGGCTTACATCAGGAGAGGAGGTACCTGGGTGGCCATGTGCTGCCCGGAGCTGTAAGTGCACTCGTTCTTTCATCTCAGGTCTTCAGTAACTGTCATTTAGTGTGTGCAGATGAGGGAAACCCTGAAGAAACGGTGAAGTGACCGAGGTGGCTTATTTTCAGAGAGGACTTGAGGAATAAGAAGGAACCCGCTTGCCTGTCAGATACCAATGTGATGTCTAGCACCCAAATTGTTGGTGGGACTTACTGATTCAGAGCCTCTAGTCTCATGAGTTACAACTAAGTCTTTACAAAATGTGAATTCATATGATGTGTTAGGCTGCCTCATATTTTCTTTTTATTTTAAAAATAGAATCTGACTAGGTTATAGTAGTCTTCATAATATATGATTAGCAACAGAAGGCTAGATCAAGCCATCAATTTTTAAGCAGAAATCTTCTTTGCTACCAGTGGAGAATTGCTTAAAAATTGATGGCACAATCTGGCCCACAGTGAGCAGGGGATTTCTACAGAAAGCATTAAGTTGTACTTCTACTCAGTCTCCCTCCTGGCGGTGACAGGGGTCCAGAAACTCAAGGCCAGTCTGATGCTTGTTGGAAGACAAAAGGCTTAAGGACTATTTAAAAAATTAGAAGGTTAAAAAGCTACCCAACCCTTAGAAAAATTATAAACCACAGCCATTTTCCTTTCAGTGAAAGCAACTGTATTTCTCTAATGGCATACATAAGTGAAGGATATAATCATGGTCTAAGCAACAGAGAGACTTCCAAATGCACAGAAATGAAGTTTGTTTCCTTTATTTGTTCATGTTATGTTGTTGAGGTGTAAATACATTTTATATAAATATTTTGCTGCATTAAGTGCCACTAGACTTCGTAATTACAAATTAGAAAACCAGAGTAGGGCCTCTTCTGTGCCTCAGAGAATATGCTTGGGCAAGTACTTATAACTGTAAATAAAGATGAAAGGCTTGTGCCATGCATCATTATTTTTAATCAAGTAAAATGTGTTTTACTCCACTAAAACTCTCCAGTAATTGAAAGTAAAGACATTGCAGCTGGTTGTTATCTCTTAGGAGGAGAGATGGCCAGGGCTGATCATAATGTGTGTAGTCCCATGTGAAAATGTTTAAGGACTGTGGAGGTTGGAGGGCAGACCTCTGCACTTGCTCAGGGTCTAGGTGACATGTGGTAGCCTTATTTTTTCTGATCTGCTCATAAAAGGCAACTGGGGAAGTTGTAGTCAGCTAGACTTCAGGGGAAGCTACAGGAATAAAGAGGTGTGAAGTGTTAACATCTTCACCCTGCTAGCTGAATGAATCAGTCACAAAAATGATTGGGCTGTAGACTTAAATTCACTCTGCCAGGTACAGGGTAGTAGACTCCCGACTCTCTCCCACGCTCCTGTGCAGCGCGGTGTCCCACTAAAACATTAGTCAAGCATGGGAGTATCACCTGGATCCTTAAATACCTTATTGTAGACACCAACAAGAACAAAACATGTTGCATTTGTTGGAATGGTTTGCTCTCCGTCACATTGTAGTCTTGCAGTGGCCCTTGTTGAAGTAGAAGACACAACAGTAGCAACCATGGAGTATTTGGAGTCCAGGATGTCCGTCCTGGTCACAGGGATGGATGGGTGTGCAAGGGACCTGAGCCGCCGGGGCTCTCAGGCATGTCATTTCACCCCTGCCAGCCTCCCTCTGCCTGTCACTGAGACAGGCCCGTAGGCTGGTCATCTCCGTAAGCATGGCATCACCATGTCCATCTGCACAGCACGTCTCCGTTCTCGTGGGTTGAGACATTTCTGTTACAGTCTCTGGAAAGGACTGCAGCAAGTCACCTACACCAGCCTCCTGCCCAAAGCTGGGCAGGTTCAGGATTACCTTGGGGCTGTTCCTTGTTGATACTTTTAAAAATCTCCAAGGACAGTGATCATGTGGCCTCTTGGAGTATGTCTCTGGGGGCTTACCTGCTCTCTTGGCAAAGAAACTCAGGGTTGCTCTATTTTTTTAAACCTTCCCATGAGCAAGTGGGAGACATTAATCAGATCCTGTTAACTCATCTCCAAGCTAAACAAGCTCACCTCAGGCTAAACAAGCATGGTTCCTGCAGCCATGGTGGCCCCCGGATGGACATGCTTCAGTTTGTCGTTCCCTCCTGTGTACTGGTGGGCCCAAACCTGGATGCAGCAATCCAGATACAGCCTCATGAGTGCTACATGGAGGGTGTTTTTTGGGGCTCAGGGGTGTTAGGACTATGCCTCTCAGTTTGTTCACCTCCCGGTGAAACCTCCATTACACTTCAGCTTGTGGGGTCAACATTGTAAATCAATGATCAGCCTCCAGGACGCAACTGGCATCAGTCACTGGTGTACAAAACCTGGGGCTGGAAGGAGAAACTGTCTTACACTCAATCAGTGTCACATATTTTGAAGACCTGTCTCACAGGACGGTGCCCCATCAGTTACACCACTCTCTGCAACTGTCTTGCTTCCACTGTGTCCCTGCCCTGTGAGAGGAGTGTGAGGGAAAGGGGGTGATCAGGGATGCAGGCACCCTCAGCAGTACCATAATGTGCTGCCTCCAAAGGCGCTAACTGGAAAACAGCCTGGAGTAAATGGGCCTGGCAGATGTGGTGGGGAGGGGGAGACTGTCACCCCTTCCCAGGGAGGCAACATCCCCTTAGGGCTCGCTCTAGGGGAGGGCTCCTTTCTCCTGCCTCTGCAGGCTGGAAGGTCGCAGGCTGTTTTCCTTGGAGGTCTTGGCCTTTTCCCCTCACAAATGAATCTCAAATCCTGTGTAGCAGCCCTGACACAATTTTCTAGGTATCATCTTCCCACATTATTGGCAGGCTCTGGCTTGACCCCTTTTAGCTCAGTCAGCCTGGGAAAGGATATATAGAGCACCATAGCAAAGCACTTGCGCAGCTGCTCTTGCAACATTTCTGGCACTTAGAGCCAGCACCAAAATCTGCCATTTGAACTGAAACTTTCCATGTCTGCTTTTTAGCCTTGGGGTGAATTTTTAAAAATTTATTTATTTATTTTAACTTTAAAGGTAAATCGTTCAACCATATTTGAGCTACCAGAATGTGAAGACAATACAGGCAAATAGTCTTTTGTGTGAAAATAGTTCATAAATTACAAGACACTGTATGAGGAGATAGTGGGTTAATTGCAAAGCTGTAATTAACTGGTTAGAAGCAGGATACAGCTCCCCTTGATTCACATGTATCCCATGGTGTGGGACTCCCCCAGCCAGAGCCCTGCTCGGGGAAGTCCAGCAGCCCAACTGCTTGTATTTTTTTATCACCTTCCTGAATTTCTTCCTGTGCTTTTTCTTTGTCCTTGCAGCTACAATGGTGATTGTTCTGTACACTTGTACATTGCCTAATGGTAGGGGAATTAACAGATCTCCCTTCCAGAGTTTGCACCAGGAGGTCATGTTTTGCGTCTAATTGTACTGTGTTCAAAATCTGCTAGATCCAAGACTTTGTTCTAAGAGGTAATCTCTGTCCACTTCATATAGAGCCAGTGATTAATGCATGAAGACAATTATATATATTTTGATTCTCCGACTACTTAGAAACATTGACTGTTTTCCAGGAAAGTAAAAGTGATATTACTTTTTCAATTCTGGTTTTCAAATTGGCACTGAAATACAGAATCAAGGACTGTTTAGGCCTGAATAACTTCCTGTATTTGCAATACTGAGATCTAATTTTAACCTCTGAATTTCTAAAATGTTAGCAACAGGCATGGTGAAGCCCTTGCTGATTCTGCAAAGCCCAGTAGAAAGCCCACGCAGCTGAAGCAAAAGAATGTGTGGGGTTTGGTTGGAGAGATCCACACAGGTCACCACTGGATGTTGAAAAGGGGAAACTCCCAGTTCACTGCATGGAAGGAAGTGGAGCAGAGCGCCCTACGTTCCTTCTTTATGATGAGGCTAAGTCTCACACTTCCATTGTAAAATGTCTGGGAATGTCCATTACATTTGTAAATACGGATCTTCTTTCCAACCTGGCTGCTTTCATACAATTGTAGAACAGCCCAGATTGAAAGGAATATCAGAGGACCATCTGATCCAACCTTTCATGGGAAAGGGGGCCAAGATGAGATTCTCCAGCACCTTGTCCAGTCACATCTTGAAAATCTCCTGTGATGGGGACTCTGTCACATCCATGCAGAGGTTGTTCCAGTGAACGGTTGTTCTTCACAGGGAACCACATGGAGGTTACAAGGGACAATGCATACAAGTTGCATCAGAAGAGGTTTTATCTTGACATAAGAAAGAAATTAAACCTCTAGCTATGTACATATGCATCCGTGTGTGTGGCTTGTGCTCCCGTGTTGGACAGATGCATTAGCTAACCATATGCACGTTTAGTTAAAACCTGGCTTAGAAAGCCTGTGTTTATTCCAGATCTACTCACCAAGCCATTTCTAAGTAACAGATCAATCCTTGTAAGCTTTGCAAGCTTGCTAAAGGGAGATGTCTAACAGGAATTGGATCCCTTCCCTTCAGTGTGCTCTGTCTTTAATCCTGCCCTTATTACTTGAGACTGGGTGATTTTTCCACTCCACTACTTTTTCCTCAGAGTCAGTCACAAACTAGGATGATGTAGGGTCCTGCATTTTTGCGCACAGTGCATGAACCTTGCTCAAATGCTCACTGGAGATCAGCCCTTCTTAAAAGAGGGGAGTTGGGAGATGCATGCGGGAGGCAGGGGTGGGAGAACAGGACTAAGCAGCTCTGTTCTGGAGAATATTTATTATCCCTGTACAGACACTATAATGTTGCATAAAGTGGTATCCTGTTTTTAAAGAGGGATGGGGAGAAGCAGGCAGCAAGCCACCTCGCTCCCCAGCCTCAGCCAACCCTTTGTGGTACCGTGATGGGAAGCGGTGTGCTTGCCTCACACGGCGGCTCCAGCAGCTCCCCTAGCCAGCTGCGATGGGTGCCAGGGACCCGTGGCAAGCCCTCCCTGGGGCTCAGGCAGGGAGCAGGGCAGGCAGAGCAGCTCTATGGGAAGGGGGAGATGGGAAGCCCCTGGCCAGGGAAGCTTCTGCCTCTCCTGCCTGCCTTTGCCTTTGGGAAAGGGACGTTGGTTAAGTTGTAGCAAGAGTTAGTGGTTGCTGAAGTGCTTCAGAAATGAAGGTGTGTAGTGATTTTATAGGTCCTGGCTTCAGCTCGTTGCTCGTATGAGGTTGTTACCCAGGCTGTCACTTCTGCAGGGTGCAACTTCCAGAGGAGCATGAGTGACCTTGGGGCATGAGCTTTTGGAAAAGGCATTAAAAAAACTCACAATGATCTTTCTACTCTTTCAGTTTAAACAATGTAAGGTTTTCACAGCCTGAAGAATTACTCTTGTTTGTTTTGTCAGTGTCTGCTTGAAATAGTGTTATTTTGGAGGCAGGTTCACGCACTTTGTATGTCTATTTATGCTTTCTGCATACTACTTCCCGGACTCATGTGTGGTATTTTAAGCTTGATTACCTCCCAGTGTTGATATGTCTGCCCTGCCTCTCTAAATTCAGCTGATGCCTGTTGGCTTCATTGCATGTTTCCAAAAATACAAACTTCAGAGCAACAGGATTCAACCAAAATAAGTGTCGAAATAGTGGCAGTATACCTGGATATGCTGTGCTACAAACAAACAGGGACGTTAAATGTACAGCACTTCTTTCAGCTACTCTGTCTCTTCATATGCTGGAGCTCTGTCTGCATGAGTGCTTTCTAACTTGCTCTTTCTGTTTCTTCATGCTTCCCTGGATTCAGAGAGAGGTAAATGATTTTCATTTTTCCATTATTCTGTCTGTTTATCCTTCTGGCATGCACCTGACGATGCTCGTAATGGTTTGCTTGTATTGGTGAACAGAAGCTAAACTTCAGTGAGTAAATTCATATCAATCCGTCACCTTTTCACCTTACTATTAACAGGATTTGTCAAGTTGAATTGCCTGCTGGTTTTGTTTTTTTTTTTCCCAGGTCCCAAGCCCTCAAATACTAGAACAGTTTAAAATAATGCAATGCAGTGGATTTTGATACTTGGTTCTAGTGTTTTGAGTTTAAAATTTAGACGACGTTGTTCTCTGTAATCTGAAGTGCAGGAAAGTGGTATTAAAATGCCACCTTTTATTTTAAAAAAACTAAAAACCAGGATGCTAAGAGCAGAGGATTTAAGAGTTAAGTTTAGCAAGAGTTGGAAGCATTGATGTTTATTTCCTGGTTTTGGTATTTGTTTCGGATCCAGCTGGGTTGGTCGCTTGTCTTTTGAGTTCGAAGAAAAGTTGTCCCCAGTATGTTTGATTTGTTTGGATGTACAAAGGGATCGTTTGGGATTCTCTACAATGCTTTCCGTTTCATGGGAGCGCAGACAGTGAGGCATTGTAGTCAGGTGCTTTGCTGCACAAGGGCTGCAGCCTCTCCAAAGGCTCTTACTGGCAGAATTGCATCCCTCAGATGAGATTTGACGTTTGTTTGCTCTCCTAAATTGCAAGGACTTGATACTAGGACGGGGCAAAAGGATTGTGGTTTGGAGATGCGGACTGTTCCTCACATTTGCTTTGCGGAATATAATGAGAACAATTTCCAGGCTTGACTGGTTTTTAATCAATTCTTTAGGCAGCGTTGGCCTAGGGAAATGTTTGAACTTTCTTGATTGTGGCTTTGCAATCTAATGTAGATTTCCTGCATGCGGGAAGCGATGATCCTCCCAGACTAACACCGACAAAAGTGTGCTGCAAGCAGATTCGTGGGTAGTGTCTGTGTGCGATTGCCGTGGTCTCTGTCTGAATAATAAAGAACAAAGGAGAAGTAGTAAGCATTGCTTATAAAACAAATCACACTAGAGAGATGAACTCTTCCAGTGTAGTCTGCCATCTTCTTCAGTTAAATCTGTAGTAGTTCTTTGAGCATTTAACTTGATGTATTTCTTTATTAAACCTTTAAATATTCCTTATAAACAAAGGCCCACATCTTCCAATTAGATCTGGAATATAGAAGCATTGTCAAAAATAGCCAAACACTTATTTGTCAAAATAAAATTTACAGGATCTGCTGCAAAGAGGCTGTTCAGAGGTTCATAGGCATAATAACACATTCATTTACTTAAAGGAAGTTCAGCATTCATCAAAAATGCTAGACTGACTATCCTGAGGAATTAAACCACCACTTTGTGATGCTACAAAGGAGAAACAACAACTGTAATGGCCTTGACAACCTATCTTATTTCTGTGCCTTTGCCTTGAAAACTGTGCTGCGCAGGGTAGGAAGGCAGCCCCCTGCCTGTGCATATTTCATAAATATTGTGAAGCAACTAAGCAACAACAAAAAAAAAACATTCACCATGGAAAAATGTGTGGCAGTAAAGTCAGTGGTCAGTGATTTTCATAGGATCTGTTGCTGAAGTTCTGTCTTCCTTTAAGTTCATTTAAAAGACAAGCTGAGGTCTAAGTTGCTGCTTGACTTCTCAACTTGCTGTGTCTGGCTAGCAGTTGATGAGCAGCAAGAAGACCCATCTGACCCCCAAGCACCAGCTGGATGTGGCATATAGTTAGCTGGGCCCCCGTCGTGCTGCTGGTGCTACAAGAGAGCAGAGTCTCCAAGTCAGTCTTGGTGATGACCATGGCACAAGTGATAGACTGTCCTCCTTGCCCTGACAGTAGTACTTCAGCCATATGATCATGAGGTGAGGTTGGGAAGGAGGACCAGCATGGAACATAGATCTTAGCTGTGCAACCTGTACTGTTGTCACTATGTTAACACAGCTCATGGATCTGGAGAGATTAGATATTAGATTTATATAAATCTGTGGCCCTTTGCAGGGGTGGGTTATAGTCCTTGGTAGTAGAAAGAGAAATCATAGAATCATTAAGGTTGGAAAAAACCTCTAAGATTGTCAAGTCCAACTGTCAACCCAACATCACCATGCCTACGAAACCCTGTCCAGAAGTGCCATGTCTGTAAGTTTTTTTTTTTAACACCTCCAGGGATGGTGACTCTACCACCTCTCTGGGCAGCCTGTTCCAGTGCTTGACCACACCTTCAGTAAAGGAATTTTTCCTAATATCCAATTGAAACCTCCCCTGACACAACTTGAGGCCATTTCCTCTTGTCCTATTGCTTGTTACTTGGGAGAAGAGACCAGCAACCACCTTGCTACAACCTCCTTTCAGGTAGTTATAGAGAGTGATAAGGTCTCCCCTCAACCTCCTTTTCTCCAAGCTAAACAACCCCAGGTCCCTCAGCCACTCCTCATCAGACTGTGCTCCAGACCATCTCTGGATGTGCTCCAGCAACTCAACATCTTTACTGTAGCGAGGGGCCCAAAACTGAACCCAGCATTTGAGATGCGGCCTCACCAGTGCTGAGTTACAGGGGGGACGATCACTTCCCTACTACTGCTGGCTATGCTATTCCTGATACAAGCCAGGATGCTGTTGGCCTTCTTGGCCACCTGGGCACACAGCTGCCTCATACTCAGCCGGCTGTCAACCAGCAGCCCCAGGCCCTTTTCTGCCAGGCAGCTTTCCACCCACTCTTCCCCAAGCCTGTAGCATTGCATGGCGTTGTTGTGACCCAGGTGCAGGACTCGGCACTTGGCCTTGTTAAACCTCACACAATTGACCTTGGCCCATTGATCCAGCCTGTCCAGATCTCTCTGCAGAGCCCTCCTCCCCTTGAGCAGATTGACACCCATAGAATCATAGAATCACTTTGGTTGGAAAAGACCTTTGAGATCATCGAGTCCAACCTTTAACCTAACCCTGACATCCCACCACTAAACCATGTCCCTAAGCACCTCATCTATCCTTCTTTTAAATACCTCCAGGGATGAGGACTCCACCACCTCCCTGGGCAGCCCATTCCAGAGCCTGACAACCGTTTCAGTGAAGAAGTTTTTCCTAATGTCTCCTGCCCAATTTGGTGTCATCTGCAAACTTACTGAGAATGCACTTGACCTGCTCATCCAGATCATTGATAAATTATTTGTAACATCTCAGAGCCATCTTTCTGGTTAGCAAGGCAGCGGTGGCAAGGCTGATGGAGTCCCGTCCCCTTCCCAGAAGAGGAGGTGGTGGGCAGTGTTGAGATGTGGGAAGTGTGTCTGCAGGAATGACTTCTGTGGCTTCATGAGGATCAGGCTGCAGGAAGGAAATTGGAGTGAAAATCGTGCAAATGCTTTCAGGCTTGCTCAGAAGG